TGGGCTCGGGGACAGTCAACAGCCCAGTGTCCCTTCTGATGGCATTTAGGACAAGGGCCTGGAGGCTTGTAAGGCTTAGGACATGGACGAGCCCAGTGACCCATCTGACCACATATAAAACAGGGTCTGGTGGGTGCAGAGAAGACATTCGGCAGAATGGAGGCCCTGGTCCCAGGATGGAATCCAGATTGGGGCTCGGGGATGTTCAGTGACTGTGAGGATGGCCTTAGGCCTGAGCCTAAGCAACTCCATTTTAAAAAACCTGCAGAGACCCTCCCGTGGGCCAGTGCAACCAGGGACAGATGCTAAGTCTGGACAGACGGCTTGAGCCACCATCTGATATTTCTCCTTCTGTGCCTTCTCGTCTCCCCTGTTCTCCACCTTAAAGGCCCCTTGCAGAACCTCAGCTTGGGGAGTTAGGGGCCCCCATCAAGGTGCCTTAGTTTGGCCTTAATATTGGGGAAACTCTGGGAGGAAAAGTAGGTCTCCCATCTGGAGCCTCAGGTCCAGGTTAGTATATTGCAATAAACCCTGGTCAGGGGTCTAAAAATGCTGAAGGTTTCATTCTTATCTTGGAAGATTTCCTGGAGCCTTTCATAATTGCTGGCCTTGTGGGCTGCCTTTCTCAGTCCTTCCATGAGGCAAGTATGAATTGGTTTCTACGAGTCACTCCTCTAGGCAAATTACAATCCCAACTGGGGTCCCGATCAGGGACTGCCTTAGTGCCCATCGGATGGCAGGGGAGGTCTGATGTACCTCATCAGCATAATTTCTAGCTTGCTCTCAAACTCGCCTGCGGTCCTCAGGCAGGAGGGTGTTAGACAAGATCATATGGACATCGTGGAAGGTCAAATACCTGACTTATCAATATCAAATACCTGACTTATATGATTGACTCAGGTATTGAAACTCTTTGGTCTATGTGTTGGGACTTGAAGTGTAGGACCCAAGCTGCTTTTCCATCTGTGAAAGATCTGACAAAGAGAAAGGCACATGAACCCGATTACACCATCCACCCAGCCGCCTCGCGTAGAGGACACAGAGATGCAGGTTGAGCAGTGGTAATCCGTGAGTGTGTGGCAGGAGGACAGAGAGCGGAGGGGCGTGGGGACAGTTGCTGCAGAGGCTTCAATAGAAACAGAATTGTGGCATGGTGGGGGCTCATCTGCTGGGTGGAAGGAGAAGGAGTCCTGGGTAGGGTCTTCTGTTCCTTTGGAAGCAGGCGCAGAGGAGGTGAGAGCTAAGAGGACTTGTGCAGGAGAGCAGGAGTTGCAGAGAGAGGGCTTAGAACGTAGGGAGGAGAAGGCCTGAACATATGAAATCTCTTTCCAAACACTCACGATAGTTGAAAAGATCCCTGATGATATTGGGATCTAGAGTGCCATTAAGCGGCCATTTAGAGTCATCATCCAAAGGATATTGAGGCCAGATCTGATTGCACAAGTGGATGAGTTTCTGGGGGTTTAGGTCCGGGGTGAGAGAGAGAGACCCTAGGTTAGCCAGGAGGCTTGAGAGGGAAAGCGAAACCTTTTCCTTAAAATGGCAGCTGTCACTTAAGATGGCCATCCAGATGCTAAGCAGGGTCCTTGTACTCTTGGTCTGGTAATTCAAAATCTGAGTCTTTTTGTTGGTATCTGTTGTCATTTCCCTTAAGAAATCATCATATTTTCTTTGTTATTTGTATACCAAGTTTGTGAGTTCTACGCTGAACATTTTGAAGTTCTGTCGCATCCTCTGGGTCCTGCTACAGTTCTTGGGACATGTCAGTGTTCTTCTTGGGGCTTGCACACGTGTCCAGGCTCTTGGCTTTAGCCTACCTCTCTACCCGCTGTCTGGGGCCAAGAGTGCTCTCAAGTTGGGTCTTGAAACCCTTCTGTGCTGCCGCGTCCCCTTCTGTGTGAAGGGGCAGCACGGAGGTCAGCCTGGAGCTGAGGCAATTCACACTGAAACACAAGGTCCCTCCTCTGTCTCTCTTCTTCCTGAATCATCTGTCACATTCCCCAGTTTCCAGGGGCCTCTTCCCAGAACTCTGGCTGTGAAGGGGAACTTCCCTAGGAACCTGCACCACTCATACTGCCTCGCAGGCCAAGGGTCCCCGCCCTGTCTGGACCGCAAGCTGCCCTTTCCTGATGACTGTGGCCAGAGAGATGCTTTTGCCTTCAAGAGCAGCATGGGTGTGCGACTTCCAGTCCACCCTCGCACGCCTCTTATGATTGGGTCCTCCTTGAGAAGGAGCCGAGAGAGTCCAGACCAAACTGGCAGCCAAGCCTGGGAATCACCACTTGCTTGGCTTGCAGGGTCTCTTTATCCCTGGAGCTTTTGCTGTGTGTCCATGTGTAGAGCCCACAGGGCCACGTGTCATGCTGGGAGGCAGGAGCAGATGGGAAAGCCACCCCATCAGGTCTTTTGTTACTCTGGGTCTCATTTGCTATCGTGGTTATTACTTTTCATGTTTTCTGGAGTTTTTAGTGTTTCTCGGTAAGTTTGGTGGGCTGCAGCGAGCTCTCTCCATCTGGTCTGCCACTGGGGCGCCTTCACTTTTGGAAGACATGTTGCTGGGTATAGAAGTTTACTATTTCCTGTCACTTCCTTATCTTCTGGTTTGAATATCTGGCAGTGGGTGTGTGATTCTTCTTATTCCATTCATCTCTATCTACAGGCAAGATGTTTTCTTTATCCTTGGTTTCAGAGTTGAATATGGTATGACTGTTAGGTCGGTGGTGGTGACTTGGTGGCGATTAGTGGCAACTTAGAAGAAAGCAGCCCGCGCCAGGAAAAGAACAGCAATCAGATGCCGGCGGAAATGCCTGTCAATCAGCCAGATCTCCTGACTAACGCCTGTCAATCAACAGGACCCCCTGGCCAATCCTGGAGTTCAGCCAACTCCCCTGACCAACTCCAAGGGGGCAAGGGACCCTAGGAACACCTTTTCCTGTCCCAAGCCCTTCCCTTCCTGCTGTGAGCCCCATAAAAGTCCAGTCCGGTTGAGCTTCCACATGGTTTCTCCTCAGACCCTTCCCCTGTCCCCTCTGTGGGTCTGATCGAGTTCCGCCCTGGAGTGATATCTCAATAAAGCCTGTTCAGTGGTCCTTTTAAATCTGCCTCCTTTGGCCATTGCCTGCCCCGACTGATCTGACATCTTGGTGCCGACACCCAGGAAGGGATCTTTGGGCTTCTCCCTCAGGGGATTGAAGCCCATCCCTTCCCCCTTGAAACCAACTGGGAAATTTCTAAGCAACTCTTTCTCTCTCCCTTCATCCAGCTGACAGGAGTGGGGTAAGTTCCTCCTTTCCCCTGACCTTCCAGATCCTGTCTGTCTGTCCGCGGGGTCTATCCATAAGTGCCATAGGCCCTGCCCATTCTGTTCAGGGCTCTGGGGACTGTGGAGACGTCCTAGTCCTCCTGAGAGCCCCCCCCCCCCGCCAACCAGGTTGGCCAACTGCTGGGGCCCGCGGAGGCTGAAGGGACGTCTCAACCTCCGCCCTGGCCCATATCTCTCCGTAGGTGAGTGCAGACAGAATTTGGGATGCCTTTTTTCTGCTCCCACTCACCCCCGAAGGTGCCAGAAGGTCATGGGAAATGCAGAGTCCTCTCCTTAGACCCCAAAGTCCTTGGGTGTCTATATTCAAATTTTGCCAAGTTAGGGCTCATTTAAGAACCGCCTGGTATTTTACTGCACTGAGACAATTGGTCATAATGGCTCCCAGAAAGAACTGTTGATTTTAAACCCTCACTGAATTGGACAATTTCTGTCGCCTGACAGGGAAGTGGGAAACCACGTTCAGGATTTTTGAGATTTGCTCCCGTCCTGCCCTCTGCTCTCTGCTCCCGACCTGCCCTCTGCCTCCTTCCCTCTGCTCTTAATGTCTGTTCTCCCTCCTAGTGCTGAGAGCCATAGCCAAGTAGGAATGACGCATGGCAATTTCCTTGTCAGCCTACCCAATGTTGCTTAGAGGGAGGACTCTCCATTGTGAAAATGGGCTTGCCTTGGACCCAGGTCATTTGCAGTGACATTGCATGAATATTTGAGAGTTTTGTTTTGAAAGGTGACCTTGCTCAGGGATTAGGGTGGATCCGGGTTTAGGGTGGATCCTGCTGGGAATAGGGCATATCCTGCTGCCTCAGGCGCTGGCTCCTTGAGTTCTCGCGGGATTCAGAGGGTATTTGGGATGCAGAGCCTGGTGGAGGTGTGGATTTTCCCCGGAATGGAACGTGCATGTAGAGTGCAGGTGAGAGTTCGGGAATAAAGAATTGCTGTTTGAATCTACAAGGCTGTGAGTGGCTCGTGATTTTGTGCCCAGCCAGACTGTGGCATCCTAGCGGTACCGTGTCCCCTCCTCCTCCCTGCTGCCACTTCTGCAGCTGCTGCTCGCTGCTCGTGGCCCAGTCTGCGCACTTCCAGTCTGCCTGGCTACCAGACACGTGCGCCCTTCCTCCCTCCCTTGCTGGCTCCCTCTGCCACCCTGGCAGGCAGAACGGGTCCCACCTGGCTGCAGGGGGTGGGATCTCCGGATCCCTCCGAGCCTCCTCCCCCACTCTGCTCACCTCTTCTACTGATAAGCCCTTCCCCCTCCCCCACTCTCTTCTTCCTCTCCTGCTACCTTGATTTCTCCGCTCACTTCTTCCACTGATACCACCCTTCCCCCTCCCCCTCCACCCCTCTCCTCTTCCTCCTCTCCTACAGCCATGATCACCTCCACCCACTCACCCCTCCCTTCTCCTGATCCCTCTTATCAGATAACCCACACTTTCTTTGTCCTCTCAGAGAAGTTCGATTCAAGATCTTTCCCAGATTGAAAAACCTCTTGGGTCCTTCTCTGCTGACTCTTCTGCTTATATTAAGGAATCCCGACATCTCTCCCAGACCTATGATCTTACCTGGCACGACGTCTTTGTTGTTCTGTCCTCTACTCTGACCCCAGATGAGCGAGCCCGCATTCAGCAGGCTGCTGGAGATCATGCTGACCAAATTCGTTTAACAGATATGACTCTCCCCACAGGTGAAGCAGCTGTTCCCCTAACCGAACCTAACTGGGACTATCAAGATGGCCAACAAGGTCGCCGTCACTGTGCTCGCGTGGTCCAATATCTTATAGCAGGCATGCAAGCAGTTCCTAATAAGGTAGTTAACTTCGATAAACTGAGGGAAATTACCCAGAATCCTGATGAAAATCCAGCCTTATTTCTCAACCGCCTTACAGAGGCTCTCATCAAATATACTAAGCTGGGTCCTGAGACTCCCACCAGGGCTACAGTGTTAGCAACCCATTTCTTTACTCAATCAACCCATGATATTAGAAAAAAGCTCAAACGAGCTGAGGAGGGCCCTCAGACCCCCATCCAAGACCTGGTGAAAATGGCCTTAAAAGTTTATAATGCCCGAGAGGAGTCGGCTGAGTTAGTCAGGCAGGCTCAATTACAGAAAAAGGTAACACTCCACACCCAAGCCTTGGCAGCGGCCCTGAGGCCTACGGCTCAAACGAGGGCTTTTTGGAGGATTCAGCATTCCTCTCCATCAGGGGCTTGCTTCAAATGTGGATGTGAAGGTCACTGGGCTTGCCAATGCCCAAACTTATGGCCTCCTTCCAGGCCATGCCCCACCTGTAACCAGACAGGACATTGGAAGATTGACTGCCCCATGGCTGGCCCTTCCTCGGTGCCTCTACGCAGGGGGTATGACCAGTCAGGCAGTCCCTTCTCCTGAACTATTGGGGTTTGCAGAAGACTGAAGAGGCCCAGACTTGAAGATCCCCATCACCCTCGCTGAGCCCAGGGTAACGCTCCAGGCAGCGGGTAAGTCCATACGGGGGCTACCTATTCTGTCTTGCCTGCCCATTCTGGCCTCTGTTTCCTTCCCAGGTCTCAGTTATGGGGATTGATGACCAACCCTTCTCCCAGACAGAACTGTAAGGCTGGCCTGTGCCCTGGAGGGACACCCATTCACTCACTCTTTTCTGGTCATTCCATCCTGTCAGTTCCTCTCCCAGGCAGAGATGTTCTCCAATTACTAGGAGCCACCCTCCAACTACACCCCAAGAATACTACCACCCATCTCCTTCTGCCTTTAATTCTTACCCTCTCTAATGACCTGACCTAATTGTCCCCAGATCTGGGACATCTCCAAGCCAGTCATAGCCTCCCACCACAAGCCAGGCCGAATCCAGCTGAAACCCCAAACTAAACTTCCTTGAGTCCCTAAGACTCCCCCTGCAACACTCCCATATTTCTGGTACGCAAACCCTCAGAAGCTTATCACTTAGTCCAGGACCTTTGCCTAATTAACGAGGCTGTTATTCCCATCCACCCGGTGGTTTCTGGCCCTCACACTTTTCTTACTCATATCCCCCTTTGACCACTCACTTTACTATCCTGGATCTTAAAGTTGATTTCTTTACAGTGCCTCTGCATCCTGACTCTTAATACCTCTTTGCCTTCACATGGAAAGACCCTACATTCTTTAGGTTTCAACAGCTGACATGGACAGGCCTACCCCAAGGCTTCAGGAACAGTCCCTACCTCTTTGGTCAGGCCTTGACACAGGATTTAACTGTTTGTGATTTTGGAATAGCACTCTCTTACAGTTGGATAGAAGCCTTCCCTACATCCAGGGAATCTGCTGACACCGTCACCTCCATCCTCATTGAGCAGATCATTTCCAGATTTGGACTTCCTACCTCCATCCAGTCAGACAACGGTCCAACCCTCACTTCTCAGGTTGCTCAACTAGTCTCCAAAGGCCTCAACATCACGTGGAGGCTCCCCATCCCCCAACGACCCCATACAGTTATACTTCCATGCTGGGGCCCACCGAACTCAAGATTTCTCGCCAACCCTCTCCTTCTTTTACTAATCATTAATCTCTCAAGCTTCTATCCCAACCCACAGATGGCGCTTCTACATCCAAGGGACATGGCAACAGGATGGCACCACCCGCTCTCAGTTTATGGGCCAAGGCGATTGCCCTTTCACTGGCTGTAATCGGGCCGTCACCCTTAATGTTACTGGATTCAGCCGGGCCACCTCATCCCACTTATGTTTAGCAATGCTACGCTTCATATCAGACCAAACTGAGGAATCTTGTAAGCGCTGGCCTGACACCTATGGTTTGGATCATACTCCATTGACTGCGATTCCCATTGATTTTCCACTCAATACCTCATCTAGACCCCAAGGACCTCCCTCTCCAGCCTTTGAGGAAGTACCTCTTTTTCGTAACTCATCAGGGAATTTCTCTTGCTGCTACGCTTCCTCAGGTTCTGCACCCTGTGACCAGATTGTTCGAATTTCTTCCTTAACCTTTGCTCCGCCTGGGTTTTTTTTCTGGTGCAATGGTACCCTAACAAAAAAATCTAAGCCTCAACATGCCCTTTGCTTTTTGTGTTCCTTCCACCTTGGTCCCCAATTAACTCTGTACAGCGAGGCTGAGTTAACATGGCTTGTCACCACCTCCCTTTCCACGACAAGAAGGGCCATCTTCCTACTGAGTAGTTGGACTCTCCCTGGCCTCCTCCCTCGCTGCCTCTGGACTCAGGGCAGGAGGACTTGGTTATGCAGTAACCGCTACTCAGAAGCTTGAACAACAACTTCGGGAAGCAGTAGAGGCATCAGCCACTTCTCTCCCTTCCCTACAAAGGCAAATAACATCTCTTGCCCAAGTCTCATTGCAGCTCTAGATCTCACAGCAAATAAAGGAGGAACCTGTTTGTTCCTGAAAGAAGAATGCTGCTATTATATCAATGAAACTGGATTGGTCCAAGAGAATGTTGACACCCTCCGTCATTTGGGTGAAAGGCTTAAACAGCAACCATCAAATGACCCCTGGCCAGGCTGGCTAAATTCAACCCTCATTGCGTGGCTGACTCCCATTCTCACTCCTATTTTAGTAATAAGGCTTCTACTAATGATTGCTCCCTGCCTCCTCAGGTTTGCTCGAAAGCACGGAGTGAAATTGCCAGAGTGACCTACAACCAGATGGTCCTACACCCCTACAGTCGCCTCCCCACCGAACCTACATCCGAGCCACTCCCCCCTATGACATCCCTAAACAAGCAGGAAGTAGCCAGATGAAATTCGCTGCCCTATATCACCAAAAAGGCTGGACTGTTAGGTCGGTGGCCATGACTTGGTGGCGATTAGTGGCAACTTAGAAGAAAGCAGCCCGCGCCAGGAAAAGAACAGCAATCAGATGCCGGCGGAAATGCCTGTCAATCAGCCAGATCTCCTGACTAACGCCTGTCAATCAACAGGACCCCCTGGCCAATCCTGGAGTTCAGCCAACTCCCCTGACCAACTCCAAGGGGGCAAGGGACCCTAGGAACACCTTTTCCTGTCCCAAGCCCTTCCCTTCCTGCTGTGAGCCCCATAAAAGTCCAGTCCGGTCGAGCTTCCACGAGGTTTCTCCTCAGACCCTTCCCCTGTCCCCTCTGTGGGTCTGATCCAGTTCCGCCCAGGAGCGATATCTCAATAAAGCCTGTTCATTGGTATATCTCAATAAAGCCTGTTCAGCGGTCTTTTTAAATCTGCCTCCTTTGGCCATTGCCTGCCCTGACTGATCTGACAATGACTTTTTTAAAAAAATAATTTTTATTACCGGTTAGGACTTTCTGAACTTGGATCTGTAACATTAAATGTATTATTATTTTTAGAAAATTTTTTATGGGGCTGGGGATATGGCTCAAGCAGTAGCGTGCTCGCCTGGCATGCGTGCGGCCTGGGTTCAATCCTCAGCACCACATACAAACAATGATGTTGTGTCTGCCGAAAACTAAGAAATAAATATTAAAAAATTCTCTCTCTCTCTCTCTCTCTTAAAAAAAAAAAGAAAAGAAAAGAAAAGAAAATTTTTAGCCATTATTTTCTCAAATATCCTTTCTCTTTTTTATTTATTTATTTAGGTACCGGGGATTGAACTCAGGGGCACTTGACACTGAGCCCCATCCCCAGCCCTATTTGGAATTTTACTTAGAGACAGGGTCTCACTGAGTTGCTTAGGGCCTCACTGCTGCTGAGGCTGGCTTTGAACTTGTGATCCTCCTGCCTCAGCCTCCCAAGCCACTGGGGAGTACAGGCATGCACCACTGGGACCGGCTTCAGATATTTCTCTTCCCTCTTCTCTTTTCTCCTTGTTACTCCAGTTATTTGAAATTACCCTCAGACTTTTGCTTGCTCTGCCTTGTTATTAGTTGTTGTTTGTTCCTTTTCCAGTTTCCCTCTTGGTGTTGGTGGAGGGACCCTGCACTTAGCTCAAGTGACCCTGCACTGACCCTTTCTGGGGACCTCTGGGAGCCTGTCAAGGCAGCCTCGTCCCTCTGACCGGGTTTTATTTCTAGCGGTTTCCTTAGACGGTCTTCTGTAGTTCTGTTTCTGTGCTGGGACCCTTCGCCCTTTCCTTCACCCCTTTACCAGGGCACGTGGACCTTCCAGGTGAGTTCTAGGAGGTGGCCCTTCCCTCGGAGCTGTCCCTGGGTCTGGCTCTGCAGGCCCAGCCTCCTGACCGTGTGTGGGAGTTTACTTCCTGAGAGAGACTGCGGCGCACGGTGGTGACTGGTGACGTGGTGACAGGTGTCTTCTGGCAGGCAGGGGCTGAGCTGGGCTTGGGTTTGGCCCATGTGGCTACTGCCCCGCCCTCCATGCCCCAGCGTCACTGTGCAGCAGGTGGGAGACGGGGTTGCTGGAGGGTTTTTCCCTCCATGTTCCCGCCCCACCTTGGAGTTCAGGTCTCCCCATGTTCCTGCCCCTGCCAGGGTTCCCCTGGGTGCTCTCGGGCCTCGTGGTGGTGAGCTGCCCTCACTGGCTCTTTGATGCTCGCAGCCTGCTGTCCGGGGACCAGCGCAGTTCTCCGGGCCCTGGTCCCGTCTCAGGCTTAGGCAGGCCTGATGGACCCGGGTCTTGGGTTTTCAGGATCCTCTTCCTTCTGCAGGGAGAAGAGACGCTGTGCCCAGAGGACTCTGACCCCCTGAGAGGTGGGCTTTTTCCTGGTCCCTTCCCCAGTCCCAAGGGTCCTCATACGTGCCCTGGGGGACAGCCAGGGGTTCTGCCTCTCCCTTGCCCCCTGAGGCTTTGTTCTAGATGGGGTGGGGGCCCCGCCCTCCCTGCACTGCCCTAGCACAGAGGGCTCCCTGCCCCTGGGCCCCCCAGGGCACAGCCAGTCTCCGGGCAGGCCCACTCCCTGGGCTCCGTGGAGGGACGCTGTGCTCACACCCTGCCTGGGTTCCAGCCTCCCACTGCCCTGCCGTTTGGCTCCCTGACCGTGCAGACTGTCCCGGCTCTCCTGTTTCAGGGTGGGCAGTGCTCTCCCCAGCTGCCCGCACTCTTGGCACGTGTTTTCCTCGGCTTCGCAGCTGTAGGCACCTACTGCACGCCACCAGCGCATGGGCACTGTGACAGATCACCGAGAGCGTCAGAGCAGGGAGGTCATTTCCAGAGGTGGCAGCCCATGGTGGCCGGCTCTGTTGTTTCTGGGCCTGGTGGGGCAGAGCTGCGGGGGTGCGGTGGGGCACAGCTGGGAAGCAGAGCTCATTTCATGTCGAAGGGACTCCATTGCTGAGGCCAGAGCCCCCACCCCCATCACCTTCTGGGGTCCAGCCTGCAGCCCAGGAGCCTGGGGACCGCCAGGGCCCTTCACACTGCCACAGAAACCCCTGCGGTCCTTATGGCTGGGCTTCCTTGACTCACTCCAGGAATTTGCTGGATTGGTCAAGTTTTGTCTTTGCATTGTTTTCCTCCCAGTAGCTTGAAAGCTAATTTTTGGGGGGATAATCCTAAATATTGTTCTTTGAAAACCACTTTTTTTTTTTAAAGAGAGAGTGTAGAGACAGAGAGAGAATTTTTTTTAATATTTATTTTTTAGTTCTCGGGGGACACAACATCTTTGTTGGTATGTGGTGCTGAGGATCGAACCCGGGCCGCACGCATGCCAGGTGAGCGCGCTACCGCTTGAGCCACATCCCCAGCCCCTGAAAACCACTTTTTAATTGAAGTTAAACATACACACAGAAACTTGCTCACCTAATCTGAACATTTTTCTGTGTGTTCAAACTCGTCATTCTGTTGGCAGCTGTTGGTGGCTCTAGGTTCTCGCTGTGAGCCGGACAAGGCCCAGGCCTTGCTTTCTCTCTCCTGCTTCTCCCACACCCACTTCTGGGGTTTCAGTCTCAGTTTTTTTTTTTTTTTTCTGAATTATTTTTTTTACACTGTTAGACCACATATTGAGCATTAAATATGAGTTTTGCTGTTTCTCTGCTCATGACCTGTTCATTTTCCTGGTCAGGAAATACGGCTTTTGAGTCTGCAGTCTCAAGGTGTTTCTGGTGAGTGGTGTTCCCAGAATTCTGCAGTGCGCAGCCCGCCCAACAACACAGGTGGCTCTGCTAGATTTTCTGACAAGAGTCACGTTTGCATTCTGTTGCAGTGAACCCTTAGTGAGCCCCTTCGCCTTCACGGTCTCATGTCTCTTGCTGAGCTTCTGCGTCTCTTCAGGGCCCAGCTCCCTCTTGGTGCTCATGGCGGCTCCTCTTTCCAGGCTCACCTGGGGCCACTTCCCTCTGCTGAAGAAACCCCGTTAGCTCTCTGCCTGTGCGCCTCACCGCAGCGGGTCTGCTGTGACTTGCTTGTTCCTGAAGGGCTTCATTGTGGGTCTTTGACGCCATCTTCCCTCTGGGTGTGAAGTTCTAGGTTGGACATTATTTTCTTAGCACTTTGAAGTATTCCATGACCACCCAGTTTCTGTGCACAGGCAGATATAGGTCCTTCTCCTTGAGACACACAGTCTTGCATCGCTTAAGGACGGGGACACCTTCTAATGAGAAATTGTGCTGTGAAATCGCAGTGCACCTGCACACACACCAAGATGCTGCACTGTCCCAGGTGAGTGGGGTCTTGTGGGTTGTGGGTGGGACGCCGCTGCCGGGTCCTGGTGGCCTGGCTGCTCTGCCTTTGTCTCTGGTTCTCAGCAGGTTCACTC